ACTCACTCCAAAATTTACGGAAAAGTCCATATTTCTAGCGATGCTACAAGAACCCAAATCATTTTACAAATAGCCGAACCTTACCCCGACTTCTACATGATTATTTATCCATTAAAAGTATCAAAAGGATATACAAGCATCCCCAAAATATGACAAACCCTGGGTTATATCAACAGTTTCTTCCATCGACGCAGAAGCACTAACACCATAGTAAGGTTCCAAAAAGATATTCAAACTAATTTTTAACCGACTTCAAAAAAAGAGGAGGTTATCAATTCGTCGGAATATATATTTTTTTTTAGGTATGTTACCGGATAACTTTAGATCCCTCTCTTCCACTAGCAATCAGAATTGAATTCCAATACTTGAACCGTGTAAAACACGGAAATGGGTAAAAAAAAACAGTGATGTGTAAGCAAATCAATGTTGCCAAATTCCCATTTTCAAAAATAAAATAAATGCAGTAGTACATATAATATACTTAAACAATCAGGCCAGTTCTGTCAAAAACTTCCTGGGAGTTTTCTCTCTTTTCCCTTTCCTCCTATCAAGAATAAAAATTCCCTGAGGATTTTTTATATTAAATGGCGCAGTTAAGCTGTCAAAAAAGTGTCAAACGGCTCTTGCGGAGTTCGAATTTTCTCCACCCGAACTTTCGGGAAAATACTACTCCCTGGGAGTTAATTATTGGAGGATTTCTTTCTCGGGAGAAACAAATTCCCGGAGAACATACTCCCTGAGAGTATTCAGAATTAGACTGAATATGTATATTTCCTCAAAGAAAGAATATCGATAGTGGCCAACGACCATTCGATAGTGCAAAAAAAGACTATTGACTATAATATGTAGCATCACGTAGGTGCAATGAAATTTTTAGGTAAAAATGTTGTTGGCATTAGGAAAAAGTGTGGGATTCGACACTTTGTAAAGCCAGTATCCTCTCCTAAGAAGACTCGAAATTGGAAGATTTGCCAATTTGCGTATCATTCTAAATCACTGATGGGCACTACCTTGCCCGCGGGCAAAGCTCTTTTAAGCTTTCTATACATTTTGTATAGGCGAGAGCAGAGTAAAAGCTATCTCTGCCCATCGCTGTTCTAAATGCATGCACAAGGTATCGTAATTGAAAAAGCATTTTCGCACATTAGCGACGATATTACTAATTTTTTTTTCTGGCCTTCATGGCCTCATATGTAAAATTAATTTGTTTAGTTTTCTTTTAATAACACTTTTTATATATTCTTACATATTTTTTACAGTTTATTGTAAAAAGTTACTTGGTAACTTTTTTTTGTAAATTCTGGTCAAAAAAAATTTTGTCGTGTGGCAACCGTGCTCATAAGATCTTTGCGGTCAGTATCGATTATTCATAAACATTAAATGCATTAATATTTAAAGTTTACTAAATAAAGCCGCCAGAATTTATTCGCATATCTGTGAGCATTTGATAAAACATCTCTTGGCTTAGCTTATAAAAGTACCAGGGATTGAAAAGTATGCAAAGCTGGGCTGTTTTCAGCACTTTGCATTTTAGACACAATAGGTTCGTTGTGGCACTGCTTGATTGAGAAAAGCCTTACTTACTGGTTTTTATTGCAAAATCAAATTTTAAAGTAGCACTTGTTGGCAGGAGTGATTCTGCGTTCGATGTCGATGCTGACATTATTATCAGTGTTCCCAAGTAAACGAAATTCTCTACCTTTTCGAAATTGTAACTGTCAATACTGACTGCTTGTTTGATAACAGGAGATACTTCCTGTTGTTGAAACCCCCCTACTGGAGGGAAATATGCATACAAATTTAGTTTAGGATAATAATGGTAAAAACTATTTTAATATCTCTGTAAAACTTGTTTATTGAGGTAGCCTAATAGTGAATGGTGTTTTTCCTTGCAATTAAGGGAAGGCTATTGGGGACCACCTATGTAAAAAAACGAGTCATTTAAAATAGCGATTCAAGCAAAAATGTACTATGTGAAGGGAAACCAACAAATATATTTAAAAAAAAATTGAATTCAAATATTGTGTTTGAGAAGACCCCTATATATATAAAATTATATATGTGACCTGGTCTACGAAAAGGGAGCTTACGTGCGAAAACTAGTTTTCTGTGAAAAAGCTGTTAAAAGTAAGCAACTCGTTTCGTTTACTCGTTTTTACTCTTCTTTCTCTACATTTTTAGTACACTTCTAAGCAAGTTAGGATTTTCTGCTTTTCACCACGTGAATAAGCATCTCATCTTCCATCCGAATCAACCAAAAAGTGAAAATTGATTTTTTGACACCTAAGCCCCCTTTCCGTAGACCAGGTCACATATATAAAATATTATATATAAAATTACACCAGCGAGTATTGTGTCTTATTTGTATTTTCGAGCATTCAACTATTGGTGCTAATAATTTTATAATTTTTTTATTATTTTTATAATTTTCTGGAATCATGGTATGGATTGTCAGATAGTGAAAATCCATACGCGAGTCGAATATATTCTGAATTGATTACATTAGAAGTTTTTCTTTTTTTGTGATCCAGAATTCCCTTCGCTTCTCTATTTAGTTACGGTTTGGCAAAATAATTCAATAAATATCATCAAAGAACGAGCTTAAAAACAACAGCAAACGTTTCGGTATTGTTTAATTTCGCTCATACAAGGTAACGACACACAACAGATTCAAATCACTTGGAAGCATTTTGAAGAGTATTAGCGAATCGCGATTTACATATCGTACCTAGATCTTTTAATTACGCATTTGCAAGATCGATTTCTAAATATTTTGTCTAATTTTGCTTGCCTCTTTCTTGACAATGAATTATCTTTTTGTGATCTGTTTGAGAAATATATATCCATTTCACATGATTCGGCGCCAGATATATAGAAAAGTTAAGTTTAACTTAGGAGAAAACGCATCACTGGTATAAATATTTAAAATTCATTTGAAGCTTTGGATATTTATAGCTCTGATGCTTTTCCGAATGCTCATCAAGTACTTAAAGTCATAGCTGTTTTACCTTATACGAACGAAATAACGTTTTCAACTTTGCGCCGCCTAGAAACTTATTTGAGATCAACTATGAGAGAAGATCGTCTCAATGTGTTAGCTTTTCTCAATATTCATCGCAATCTGGATGCTAATGTTGACACAGCATTAAAATAACTTGTATCTGTACCTCGGCGAATTGCATTATTGAAAGCATAATAATTTAGTAAATTACGCATCATGAGACTTTTCTTTGAGCTGTGGTAAATTACATATATCCATAATTAAATACAATATGCTGAATACTGTAAATAAAACAATGATATTCTTGGTTGTTGCGAATGACTTTACATAAACCATATATACATACATACACATATGTACTTAGTTATGAATTTATGTATAATATAAATGAATAAATAATAAAGTTAAATTATAAATTGTATTTCAACTAGGAATCTTTCTCTACCTTCACTGCGCTAATAACATCATTATTTCTTTGCCATTTATGACATGTGTATGTACATATGTGCATACATACATATGTACATGACCTCTTCTTCAGCACTTTGCACATTTTCCCAGTCGCCCATTCGCATACTTATAGGTGTTTCGAAGGCGTTTCCAGGCGTTCACATCCATTTGAGGTAATCAACAATTAGATTAGTTTATCTAAAAAACCTACAATTGGACACCCTCTGGAAAAAAGGCATTTGGCATCAATGACAACTCCAATCAACTTAGTCAATTCAAAATAGTGGGGCGTAAAGTATGTACATAAAAACAACTTGCAACTCGAAAATATGAACACGAATTGAGATTTGAACCTTTCTATGTGACTGCTCGTCTAGACCAACACCGATATCTACCGGCAAAAACAACTAACTCTAATCATATTGCTATTCTAAAAATTGCCATTACCTCCATTTGCCATTATACTGTATCTCAACCGCCTCTTCAACACCTATGTATGTATCTATCGACCTCCAAAGCACCAGAAAAGTGTATCGCGTGGACAGATGCGAGGACGAAAGTCAAGCACGAGAAGAACGCCAAATACCCCATTTAAACTTTGAACGCGATGTTCTTTTCACAAAAAATCACGTGTCAAGGCGCAATTTAGCCACAAAGTCTTGATTGCTGTTTGAATTTTTCCAGTTTTCCAACTACATCTCATCAATGGACGTAAAACACTACAATACAGTGCGACTGCAACAAAATCGTAAGTACACCTTAAATGCGGCTGAATAAGCAGACGGCAAGTCACTCGTTCAGAGGCTTGTTTCTGCGTTGCCTTCCAGCGGCGGAGTCGCTCGTGCGCGGCTGATAATGTCGACTTTTTTTAAGCCTTTATTATTGTGCTTGATACAGCATAAGAAGCGGCTAAGACGCGTTGACTGTAATGAGGGGGCGTGCAATGTGGCAAAGTTGTTAGACGATTTTCTTTTGATTTATTTATTCTTTTTCATAAATGTGCATTGGTACAAAAGTATACCTCGAAAAAATTACTTTTTAGCGCAGTATTATATTGTACCCTATACTGGCTTTTTAGCAGGAGGTGCAAAGCATTTGCGGAAAGAATATGACAATACTAAGCACGTGAATAACAATAAATAGAATATATAGAAAAGTTATAGACAAGAGATTGAACTTAAAGAAGCAACATAAATGCTTGTGAAATGTGTGGCAGTAAGTCAATATGACAGACAGACAAGGTTATAATGTATACACTCAGTCGCTACGCCCTGCAAACGCTGGGAAAGGTGACAAATGTTGCTTTGTCTGAATGCTCTCGGGGGTTACCTCACTAAGTTGACATATGTATATGGGTCATATATTTACATACATATGTATGTATCTAACTTAAAGCATACGAGGACTATGATACGAAAATATTTTAACTAAGTTTACTTCTCATGCGTTCTTTAAATTATATTTTTTATTAAGAATTTATTCTATCTTTATGCCTAACGCAACATTAACATCACTCTCATGTTTTTCTTTAATCTCGCTCTCTTTAAAGGTACTGTAAATGCCAACGGTGAGACGAAACGACAACGGACCTCATACACCCGCTACCAGACGTTAGAATTAGAGAAAGAATTCCATTTTAATCGTTACCTGACCCGCCGAAGACGCATCGAAATTGCGCACGCACTCTGCCTCACCGAACGACAGATCAAAATCTGGTTCCAAAATCGACGAATGAAATGGAAAAAGGAGCACAAAATGGCTTCCATGAATATCGTACCCTATCACATGGGCCCCTACGGTCATCCATATCATCAATTCGATATCCACCTGTCACAATTTGCTCACCTGAGTGCATAGGACGCGTGGCACTTTTCGGGTACTGGTTAGAGACTCAATCAGTTGTATCAGGAACCATATCAGGCGGCGGCAGCGGCTAGTGTAGCAGCCGGCGGCTATCAGACACAGAACGCACAAGACGCCGGCATGCCGCTGGGCGGTGGTGCCGGTGTAGGTGTTGGTGTGGGAGTCGGTGCGGGCGGCGGAAATTCGCTGTTCGCTTCCGCGACCGCCTCCAACGCTGAATGTGTCAAATATCCGCAAGAGTTCTGATCTCAAGTTATCTTCAGGGAACATCAACAGCAATTGCAACACCAACAGGAGCATCAGCTACATCTACAACAAGAACAATACCAACAACCACAACATCTACAACAACACCTGCCAAACCATCAAAGCCATCTTGGTTTCCAGTTAGAACGTATTTCGGAGTTGCCACTCTGTCAAGAGAAGGATTTGTGTGAAGACACAGAGTCGACTGAACTGGAGCTCAAGAATGAAATCGTTAGTGGTTGTAACATGTTTTGTTGCTGAGAGATGCTGATGTTGCTGTTGCGATGAAGCTGTAGATACTTCATACGCTGCTGCTAGCTGCTAGCGACAGCTAACAAAATGAACAACGATGATAATTTCTGAATGCAACTGATTTGTGTTAAGCAAGCAACGAGCCTTCAAGTAAATGCGTTTAGTACTCCTGTGGAGGGTTTGTGTCTATCGCCTACTCTTCCGGGAGAGGCTCGTGCAGGTTTATGATACTGGTCAGTAAGGAGGAATTTCAACAAAATTTTCGATTGCTTTGGAATCCCGTAAATTCGTCGAATTTACATTGAAAATCCTCTATATATATGTGTATATATGTACCTTAAAAGAAATGAAGGATTCAAATTGGAGCGCCTCCGTTTCGTCCTCTTTTTCGTGGAAATACGAAAACCGTCCAGTATGATAAACCGCTATATTCTCTAAGCAGTATTCGAAAAGCCATTAGATGTAAGAAAACACATAGCGCTGTCATCAGCTCACAAGCTTGGAAAGTTCAATGAAATTAAAATCCTAATAGTGATATTATTGTATACGAAATTTTTGAACTTTTTTAATGTCCATTTACCTTCATATTTAGATTGTGTAAATTTTAATTTAATTGATTTAAATTACTTACAATTTGAAAAGACAATGAAGGCAGGCTTGTTGCCGATAGTAGCGCCGCGTTAGTATAATTGTCAAACTGTAGGCAAGTAATTTAAGGTTTGTGGCTGCACTTAACCTGCAGCTCTCAAACGAAAGCTCTTACACAGCGCATCTCAAACTGTTTACGATTTTAGTTCATGATGTGCCTGGTGCCGCTAAAACTGTCGATTTGCCAATCGGTTTGGGAACGAAATACCCTACAGGAATCGGTTAGGGACCAAATTCCACAACCGGATGTGACACCATTGTCAACATTGATAGAGAACTTGGAAAACTTGAACTTAGCCAAATGCTGTTTGCGAGCGAATCGTGGTGTCTGTACTTAATTTGGTTTATTGGTTAAATATGTACGTTTCAAAATAAGTATTAAAATGAATTTCGCACTTTCACTCAAAAATATGTGTATATAGTATATTCGTATTAGAAATATCTGTTCAACTTTTAAATTGGTTAATATCTAAGTAGCTTTAATTTGTTTTTATTGTCGTTGAATTCTTTAGAATCTCCGCACTAGGAAAATTCGCAGTTGGACTTAATAAGCACGTGATTTTAGAAATCTTTTAAGAGTAAAAATTTGTAACAAAAAAGTAAAACAAATTCGGGGAAAACAGGGCATTTCGTTAGCACACAGTCATAAATAATTTAAGAAAAAAAATAATATTGGTTTCCCACGCTTCAAATTACAAGACTAAATGTGTTCTACACTATTTTCAACAATGTTTTATTTAAAACATTGTATGTATGTACGTACATAGATATGTTTGTATGTACATATCTATGTATGTATGTATAATTCTTATCGGTAGCATAATTTTCAAGTGTATTGATACTGACAACAACAATTTTTAGTAAACATTTTTATCAATAAACCCCTTTTGAACACAACTTTGATTATAACGGGTGATTTTTTAAGAGCTTGATAACTTTTTTTTAAAAAAAAACGCATAAAATTTGCAAAATC